TGTAGTCCCAGCTACTTGGGAGGCTGAGGCAGAAGAATCACTTAAGTCCAAGAGTTTGAGGTTGCCATGAGCTGTGGTGCCATAGCACTCTACCCAGGGCGACAGCTTGAGACTCTGTCTCAAAAAAAAGAGAAGGAGCACTACAGGCCAGGCACAGTAGCTCACTCCTATAATCTCAGCAGTGTGCGAGCCTGGGGTGGGTGGATCCCTCCAGCTCAGGAGTTCCAGACCAGCTTGAGCAAGAGCGAGATGCTCTCTCTACTGAAAACAGGAAAACTAGCTCGGTGCTGTGGGTGCCTGTAGTCCTGGCTACAGGAGGCTGAGGCAGGAGGATCACCTGACCCTAGGAGTTTAAGGTTGCTGTGAGCCAGGCTGGTATCACAGCACTTTAGCCTGGGGAACGGAGTGAGACTATCTTCAAAAATAAAAATAAATAAATAAATAAAACTTGGTTGGGCATGGTGATTCATGCCTACAATCCTAGCACTCTGGGAGGCTGAGGCAGGTGGACTGCCTGAGCTCATGAGTTCAAGACCAGCCTGAGCCAGAGTGAGACCTCGTCTCTAAAAAAATAGACAGGCACTGTGGTGGGCACCTGTAGTCCCAGTTACTTGCGAGGCTGAGGCAAGAGAATCACTTAAGCCCAAGAGTTTGAGGTTACTGTGAGCTGTGATGTCACATTACTCTACCGAAGGTGACAAAGTAAGACTCTGTTTCAAAAAAATAAAATAAAATAAAATAAAACCTAGACTCTAGAGAAAGACAACACAATTCTTATCCTTAACAACACAGGGTCCACAATGTCCAGCTCAAAATAAAAGAGTAAAAAAGCAAAAGGCAGAAAAATGAGGGGCAGGAGTAAAGACTCAGAAATGAAACAGATTTCAGAATATAGCATAAGAAATTTAAAGCTATTATAAATAAGGAAAAGGTAGAGGTAATGGTTGAACAGAGGGGGAAATTACAAAGAATAAAAACTGTTAAAAAATAGAAATTTGGGGTAGTGCCTGTGGCTCAGTGAGTAGGGCACCAGCCTCATGTACTGAGGGTGGCAGGTTCAAACCTGGCCCAGGCCAAACTGCAACAAAAAAATAGCCGGGAATTGTGGCAGGTGCCTATAGTCCCAGCTACTTGGGAGGCTGAGAAAAACAGAATCGCCTACAATCCTAGCACTCCGGGAGGCCGAGGCAGGTGGACTGCCTTAGCTCATGAGTTCAAGA